AAACACAATTGTAACCAAGCCTAGCCTGGCCACTACAACATCAGTCAGTACTTGTAACCAAGCCTAAGCCTGGCCATTACAACATCAGTCAGTACTTGTAACCAAGCCTAAGCCTGGCCACTACAACATCAGTCAGTGTTCACATTGCAAGTTGCTCCATAAACATACTTATCTATGTTCATGTTATCATAGTGGGTTATAGATCTACTCAGGCTTCTAACTGCATTTCTAAAACAATCATTTTCATTATTTACTTCTCTCCTAATATTATTCCTAATGCTAGACACAGATATAACAAAGTTACTTTCTACATTCTCCTACTTTTTTTTGGCTAAGATATGAACTTGATCACGAAGGAGTAATCCAATGTGTGATGGGATCCATAACAGTTGTACATTAATTCCCCTTATCCGGGATTTTTGAGAATCTGTACCTGGCTTCTCCAGAGAATATGTTAGAGTCATTATGTGAGTCAAGTCTTCACTGATGCCTCAGAATCAGCAATAATCACAGAGTCAAGCTCAGTCTCATACGTTAACTTTAGCGTCATTAGACTGGCGAACAACTCAGTTTGCAGTGTAGGTAAGTAATACTAAGACGGATTTTTTACCTTTTTTTTTTATTCTACAGTAAAAGATCATATACATGTAACACATTACAATAATTTTTGGTAATTTGGACATTAATAATTAGGTAGTATTTAGTCGTGTTAGGTCTAACAGTGGAACTAGACATTATAGGCACCTCATAGATTGATAAATTAGACACAGGTAAAACACTTGGGTATCTTTACTGAAGAAACGTTTCGCCACACAGTCGATTCATCAGTCCATACAAAGAAGAATGGTGAAGATCAGAAGGAGACAGCCTGAGGCTGAGGGACTGATTACCTGGACTGATGAAGCCACTGTGTGGCGAAACGTTTCTTCAGTAAAGATACCCAAATGTTGTACATGTGTCTAATTTATCAGTGTGTTGGTTCTCTGGACCACTGATCAACATCTCATAAAATATTTACTTTCCATCATTTTCTCTGGATATTATATTAATTACTAATCAATTTCACTTTTTTATTCTGTCTGAAGTAATTTCAAGGTTTGTGAGTACCCATGATGCCTGTAGTATTGACACGACGTTGTGTGAGTACCTGTGATGCCTGTAGTGTTGACACGACGTTGTGTGAGTACCTGTGATGTACCTGTAATAATGACACGACGTTGTGTGAGTACCTATGATGTGCCTGTAATGTTGACATGAAGTTGTGTGAGTACCTATGATGTGCCTGTAATGTTGACACGACGTTGTGTGAGTACCTATGATGCCTGTAGTGTTGACACGACGTTGTGTGAGTACCTGTGATGCCTGTAGTGTTGACACGACGTTGTGTGAGTACCTTGATGCCTGTAGTGTTGACACGACGTTGTGTGAGTACCTGTGATGCCTGTAGTGTTGACACGACGTTGTGTGAGTACCTGTGATGCCTGTAGTGTTGACACGACGTTGTGTGAGTACCTGTGATGCCTGTAGTGTTGACACGACGTTGTGTGAGTACCTATGATGTGCCATTAGTGTTGACACGACGTTGTGTGAGTACCTATGATGTGCCGGTAATGTTGACACGATGTTGTGAGTACCTATGATGTGCCTGTAATGTTGACACGACGTTGTGCGTGAGAGAAACTCAACTAGATCACTTTAACTTAAATTTTAAGAACAGAGTTGAGAGACAGCGAGCCCACGTATAGCAATGAGAGACAGTGAATATTTTTTTATTCAATTTTTAAAGCATGAGTAGAAGAGCTGCCTTGAAGTTAATGTTTCTATATATAAGAACTATTTACCCAATTACCCAGCTGGTATTGTCGTCTTGACTCTGTGTACAAATATAGATTTTATGTATATATATAGAGTGGCATTGTATTGGTTGTTTAAATCAACATTGACGATAAATTTATATATTTTATAGAAGTATTTTTTTTTAATTTAAGGTAATGAGAGCAGAAAGAAGTAATGTTTTGTGGAGTGGTGTTTGTGGAGGGTGGGGACTGGTGGAGGATTTGTGTGGAGGACGAGTTGGTGGAGGAACTATGTGGATGAGAGGAATTACTGGAGAATCCAAGAGAAGGATAGGGGTTATTGAAGGGACTAAGTGGAGGGTAGGGGTTAGTGGAGGGAGTGTGTGGAGGGTAGTGTCTGGCAGAGTGTGAGTGGAGGGTAGTAACTAGTAGAGGGACTGTATGTTAGATGCTGGCTGGTGGAGGGACTGTGTGGAGGGCAGTTACCGGTGGAGGAATCACTTCGTGTAGTATCAATTCCTCCTCCACCTCATACACCCAACATATTCCATGTGGTGGTACCTACCAAATGTTCTGTCATTACTATCAACACATACTCCAGGATTCCTAGGTCGCTCCAAACCACTGTGAGAGTTCATGGTCCCTAAGCCACTGTTCAGGTCCCAGGGCTTCATTATAGATACAGTGGGTTACTCTCCGCCCTCCTGGGTTTGTCTTTGCAGATTAGTTGACAATAAGAAGATGGTGCTGACGAGGTTCCTCTTGACTGGGAGGTTCCTGGTTGGGAGACAGAGGTTTGATGACAATCTCAGCGTCTGGGTTGATCTCCGGCACGATGCCAGTGGCCCTTGAGGGTAAAATTTTGGGAAGGGTGAGTGAGGGGGCCCAGGGGGGCCGCCAGCGATGGGGGCCGTTTGGGAATAATACAATGGGCTTGGGGGGGCCGGACATCCCTTGGGGAGGGGGCGGACGTCCTATCAGTGGGGGAAGGCTCAATGTCGGGGTGGGGGTGGGTTTTGGGGGGTGTGCACTCTTGGAGGTCCGAAGTTAGGGGTCGGGGGTTTATTTTCCCCCTGGGGTAGGGAAGGTTAGGGGGCCGATTCCTGGAGTGATAGGTCCCTCTCCTGCGCTCCTCCACCGTCACGTAAAAACAAGTCAGATCAGTAACAAAAAAAAGACAATGAATACCTACTGTATTTAGAACATTAATGAAAACATCGTACGGGCGCCAAGAAAGGTATCCCGGGATCTCGTAAACCCAGCCCTCTACCTCAAGCCTCAAAAGGGTAGTACAGGGTGATACAAGCTTCTATTGCAGTTATAATCAGAGTGAAGGGTTGAAATTTAACCCGACGTATTCACAATCTTTCTGGAAACTAAAATACCAAAAATTTACCATAAAATGGGGAAAAAATGTCACCTAAAAAGCCCAAACCAATTTGATCATTCCACAAAAGGGCTTTTTTAAAAACCCAAAGGGAAGTTTGCATTCCCTGGTTACCCAACACATACGCAAGAAATTCCAAAATAAAACCAAGCTTAATTTTTAAAGTTGCTTAAAAGTTGCCCTCTCGGGTTTGATGTTTCTCCCAAAAAAGACCACGGGAAAAAAAAAACCCATATAAAAAAAAACTGACCCAACACTCCCCAAACCTTCTTTCCCCAAATTTTTTCCCTAAGTCAGATAAACGAACTTTCCCAATTTTAAAGGGGCTTTTGTTTTTTGGAAGGTACCCCCACAACTACCCAAAATTTCCCCTAAATAAAACTGATGCTTTAAAACCCCTAAAAAAACAATTTTAAAAATCAATACAGAAACACATGCCTATAATTAAGTCATTTACAATAAGTCAGTTCCCAATAAGCCCTGAAACAAAAAGTCGGGTACAAAAAGGGTCAGGTACAATAAGTCAGGTACAAAAAGGGTCATTTACAAAAAGTCATTTTCCAAAAAGTCAGGTAAAATAAGTCAGGTACAAAAAGTCGGGTCAATAAGTCGGGTACACAAATCGGGTAAAAAATAATCGGTACAAAAAAGTCAGGTACAATAAGTCAGGTACAAAAACGTCGGGTAACACAATATCATCCCGTAACAACGTGTAATTTACCCACCAAGATGCCCCAAAAAAAGTACGGGGGAAAATTATTTCTATTTTTTCCTTTTAAAAAATTTTGGGTCATCATTTTTAGGGGCCTTTTTCTGGGTCTAACAATATTCAAACCGTGTAAACTCCCGGTATTTGTATACCCTAAGTAAACATTTCAGAAAATTTTTTTCTAATTATTTTTCAAAACTGGAAAAAATTTTAAATTCATTAAATTAAAATTTAAAGTTTGTTTCCCTTTTGACCAAGAATTTTTTAAATTTTTTTTTTTAAATTTAAAATTTCCAATTGAAGAGGGTTTTTACATCATTTTTGGTTGTAAAAATTTGGGTATAAGCAAATGTACCTTTTATTCAATCATCAACTATTTAATTTTAAACTTTTTACAAGTTAAAAAGTGAAGTCTTTCTTGGTGCGGAACTTGGCATCACTTTCCTGGAAAATATTCTTTGCCTGAGGGTTTCCCATCTTTTTGCCTTCTGCCCCAATTACTTCAGTGCGGGCTTAAACATCACTTTTAACCCCCTCCTCACAACTTAAAGTGTTTTTTGGGGAAATTTGGGGAAACCCCCAGTGGAGCCCTCATAATTTTCAGAACCTGTTGATCTGATTGAAAGCAATAAAAGGAACTCTTTTTGACTTCGGGTCTTCCAGCCCAATTTCAGGAATGAGAGCTTTTTTTGTTTTCCACTTTAGTTTGGGAATCACTACTTGCTTGAATTAACAATAGACCCACTTTGTCATTCCTTCATTTTCCCTCTTAAACCCATCATCTTTGTAATTAACAAGTCCAAACAGCATCAGAAAATCTTTCCCATCCTCATCAAGTTCCCCAGTATTTTCTTTTTTTGTCTGCTGATTCTTTTCTCTTTTTTTCTTATCTTTAGAGACAGCTTTGTCTCTCGCAGTCAAGTCTTCACCCGGGGACATACCAAGAAGCAGCTGATCTGTGTTGAGAAAAAGTAAAATTTTTCTTCAGCCCAAGTCTTCTTAACTATTTTTTTTTCTTCACTGTTCAGATGTCTCATAAATTGCAGGCCCTGGAAAACGTTTTTGGACCGTGTGTAAACATAAGGGTGCAGTTTGATTGGGACAACTTTGGGAACACAAACCCTTAAAATCATAATAAAACGACTTTTTTTCCAACTCCTGCCCTTGGGTCTTAAAGTTCCACAAAACAGCCTAAGGTCCTACTAAAAAAAGTACCCACCTTGACACCACGGTGCCGGGTTCAAGAGCAAGCCAAGTCATTTTTAAAACCCACCCCTGTGATCACCCCTTTTTGCAAATCCAATACAAGTTTTTTCTGGCCCCCGGGACAGACCCCTCTGCCATTTTTTTCCTTTCAGAGCAGGGAAATCATGACACTGACGGGCGGGAAAAGGGCCAACAATTTGGGCATTTTTGGGACAGAAACCTTGATTTCTTCCCAAATGGGCCCCTCTCCAATGCTCGGGAAACCACTTGGCTTACTGTCAAGTGGTAAAAAAACGTTCGGAATGGGCAGCCCCTTTTCCATGAAGCGACAGTTTAAAAATAATGGACTGGATCCCAAAAGGAAAAATTTTTTCAAGAAAGGAATGGTTTACATTGTCAGCTCCAACTTTTATGTTGGTTCCGAGTTATTTCTTTTTCCACCAGAAATGAATAAAATATTTTGGGCAATCTCCTTTCCAGGGCTTGCCCTTAGGGGCCCACATGAGTGAAAATTCAGTGCGGGGCTCCACAAAGATAAAGTAAGGGATTTTTCATCACAAATCTTTGGCTTCCATTTTTTGGGGTTTTCCCTCTTTCTTTGTCTTTACATAAGTGGAGGTCTTTTTAAACCACAAAATACAGGAGTGATTTTTTCCAATTTTTGCTGCCTTTTTTCCTTCCCTCTCCATTCAGTTTTTTGTGCCCGGGGCAATCTCGAAATTTCGGGCCAATAACTTGATTGTTGCCCGCCCTTGGTGCAAGGGCCATATTTCTTTAAGGGGGGGGTAGCAAGGGCAGCTCCAGCATAATCCTGAAAGTTATTTTATTTTAAAATACCCCAGATACATAGATACGTTTAAAAAAACTCCCGCGCGCTACTCAATAATACAGACATATTCCAAAACCCCACCCGTAAATGCTGTGGGTTAAAAACCTAAACCAAATTCAATTTCATATTGGCACTGAATCTAAGATTATAAAGGAACAATGAAGAGTGAAATTTTCTGACTAAAATTCCAAGGGCCCCCCCAAGTCATACTTTTTTTTTTAACGAGGGGAAAAAGAATTTGGCCCCTGGGGGCGAGATTTTATTTCTTTCTGGTCATATTGTCACTGTTTGTAAACTCCCTGCTCGGGGAAAAATTTATTTCCACGATCAATAAATTTCCCAACCCTTTCAAACTATTTTTTACCACTGTAAAAAAAAAATCCCCCATTTTTTAGTGATAAAAGAAACTGCTAATTTAATATTGGTGTGTGTGAGTGTGTGTGTTTGTTGTGTGTGTGGTTTTACTAACCTATTTTTTGGCTTTCAGGGGGGCGATTCATTGCCCCCTGGCCCCGCTTCTTCATTGGTTTGGGAAATAGAATTTAAATCCCCCGTACCCTCTTCTTTAAAACTATTATGGATCCTGCCTCCACCAAACCCCTTTCAAGACTTTCCACTTCCCGAAAAACTTTTTGGGCTGAAGAAAAACTTCCTAACATCTTGGGGACTCAAACTGAACTTCAACTTTTTAATTGTGACCTCTTGTTCCTGTCCCCAATTTTTGGAAAAAATCTTTTCCTTCCCCTCTTGTTTGATTACTTTTTATATTTTTTTATAAAAGTTTTCATGGGCCCCCATCTTTTCCCTTTTCGTCCCTTTAATTTTTTCCTAAAACCCCTCCTTTTCCAATATGCCCCCCTTTGCTCTGGGACTAGTCCCCGTTTCAAAATCTCTGCACTCTCTTAAAATTTCCCCCTAAATGCCTTTGGCTAGGGGGGGGGGGTTTAAAGGTTTTCCCCCCCATCCCCCCAAAAAAAGCCTGACTTAAAACGGTGTGCAGGGGCCTGAACGACTCCCCTTAAAAACCCAGGGTGTTTTTTTGGAACCCTATTCTTAGGTTTTTCTGGCGCCCCATGTGGGTGGGAGCCCCTTTTTTTTGAAGTGTGCCTCAGGAATATGTCCGGCATTTTAAATCACTCCAAGATCCTTTTTCCCTTTAGAAAGATTTTTCGTGTGTTTTGATGGGGGCTAGGAATGACCATCCACCCCTAAGTAGAAATAGAATTTCAAAAATAACGTGGGAAATTTACAAATCACTGAAAATATATTAGGCCCGGTAAACAGTAGGGAAACAATTTAAGAAGAAATTACCTAAGGTGCAGGAGCAACGAGTGTACCAGGCAGGAGACCCCAGGGGGTTTCAGGGTTTAAAGGGGCTGGAGAAGCACGGGACTTTGCCCCCTGGGGTCCCGGGGGAAAGAAGTTTTCCCCTTCCCTCCCGGTTGTTAGGTAGAGGGAGTGCAAACCCCCGGGGGAGGGGGGCCAGAGAGATGGGACCCTCCTTATTTTCCCTTGGGGAAAACAAATGCGGGGCATGCGTGGGGGCATGCGTATGAGGGAAAGGAAAGGGAAAGGGACTTTCGGTTTACCCCGGGGCCGTCCCTGGCCCTGGGCTCTGGGAAAGAGGCAGGTTTTAAGGGACTGCTTTCAACTTCCCGGGGGGAAATGACATTCTTTTTTCGTTCCAGGGAAAGGGTGGACCCAAATTTAATGGGTTTTAATTTTTTTTGGGTCCGAAAGGTCATTAAATGGCAATTCTTTTGCTCGAAAGGGGGGCCATTGGGGTTTGGGGTTTACCTTTGGGTCGGGGGGAGGGCCAATTTAAAAGGGGTTTATCCTTGTTCAGAGGGGGGGACCAAATTTAATGGGTTTAAACCTTGGCTCAGAGGGGGGCAATTTAAAAGGGTTAATCCTTTTCTCAGGGGGGGGAGGAAACCCTTGAAAGGGGCATTCTTGCTTTAAGGGGGGGTGCGTTAAATTGTTAATTTTTTTTGTCGGAAGGAGGGGCCCTTTAATGGGTTCCCTCCTTGGTCAAGGGGGGACCATTGAATGGGTTTAAAACCCCAGCCGGGTTTGGGGGACCATTGAATGGGTTCATCCTTGGCTCAGAGGGGATGCCACTGAATGGTTTAAACCTCAAACTCAACAGATACATTGAAGGGGTTTCATCCTTGGGTCAGAGGGTTTGGTTTCATTGAATGGTTTTAAACCCCCACTGGGTTTGGGGGACCACTGAATGGGGTTTAAACCTCCCGCTCCGATGGTTTCCCCCGAAAGGGTTTAAAAATCAGGGTCGGCTGGAGGGCCATTAAACAAATTCCTCCGGGCTCGGAAGGGGCGGGGTTCCCGAGGGTGAATTTAAACGGTTTTTTTGGGGCCGGGAAGCTAGGGAACCTCCTGGGGAAGGGGGACAATACGAAAAGGGCAATTTATGTTGACCATCTGGGGAGGCAAAGTTGGCTGGGATTGGGATGGGAACCCCGACAGAAAGACCGGGCCCTATGTTCATCTGCCCCTTTATGGGGGGCATCAAAAACAAGGGGAAAGGGCCGTTGGGAAGCACGGAAAGGGGGAAACCCGGGGGGAAGGGGAGCCCCCTTGGGGCCCCCCCACGGGGAAAGAAACTGCTTTTGGCTATACCCGGGAGGCCCGGCCCTTTTAGCAGTCGCAACTTCATTATGGGACCATGAGGGGCAGAGGTGGGGGGGGGGGACCCGGGTCCTGTTGGGGGGAAACAGGCCCAGCCAGGGGCCCCCCCTGCAAATCGTTGTTTTTCATTTTCCCTCGTTTTGTCCCCGGCAATGACAATGATGGGGGCCCGGTTTATGATGCCCTTTCCCAAGGGGGGCTCACGACGCTCCCAAAACCCCAAAAGTTTTACATCACTCCACCCGCAACACAGCAATGATAAGTAACCCGCAAAAATACATGGAACCCAACAACAAATTTAGTAAACACCTTTAAACAACCACTATTTCTAAATTAATGAAACCACAAACAAGTTTTTCCCTTAATCATAAACAAACCCGCGGCCCTGGCTGGGGTTTGATCCCCTCTACTTTTTGGGGGCCCCCCCATGGGGAAGCAAACAAAATTTTGCAAAAACCTAGCCACTGACCAACAATCCCCCAAAAAAACCATGCACCAGGGTACCTGGGATAAAACCCCAACTACAAAGGGTGGGGTCTACCTCCCCCAGGGGAAATGAAACAGAGTCCCTAATATAAACCCCAAATACAACAATTTTTTTACCTCCCCCCCGGTATGACCAGGGGACCTGGAAAACCCGAAATACAAACACTGTGTCTACCTCCCCCAGGGGAACTGACCAGGGGGACCTGGTTTTTAAAACCCCAACTACATCACTGTGTTTTACTTTCCCCCGGGTACCGGTAAAAACCCAATTAAAATCATTGGGTTTTCCCCCGGCCCCCAAAGGGACCCGACCAGGGAAACCCGGTATAAACCCCAACCACATTTACTGTGTCCCCACCCTGCCCCAGGGTACTGACCAAGTACCTGGGAAAAACCCCAACTACATCATTGTGACTACCTGCCCCAGGGTACTGACCAGAGTACCTGGAATACACTAACTACATCACTGTGTCTACCTGCCCCAGGGTACTGACCAGGGCAGGGTTGCCGAGGATCAGGTCAATGGGTAGTTTGATCTTCTTCATGTGATCCATCTGGGCACGCATGATGTCTCGTAGTGCTTGACGGTTCTCTTGTCTCTCTAGTTCTTCCTCTTGTCTCTCTCTCTCTTCTGCTTCTAGTTCCCTCTCTCCTTCCTCAAGCTTCACTGCCTCTTCTACCAGAGCCTCCACTTCCTGTATAAATAAATTTACATATAAATATATATATATATATTCTTCTTCTTTCTTTCAACACACCGGCTGTATCCCACCGAGGCGGGGTGGCCCAAAAGGAAAAACGAAAGTTTCTCCTTTTACATTTAGTAATATATACAAGAGAAGAGGTTACTAGCCCCTTGCTCCCGGCATTTTAGTCGCCTCTTACAACACGCATGGCTTACGGAGGAAGAATTCTGTTCCACTTCCCCATGGAGATAAGAGGAAATAAACAAGAATAAGAACTAGAAAGAAAATAGAAGAAAACCCAGAGGGGGGGGGTATATAGTGCTTGTACATGTATGTGTAGTGTGACCTAAGTGTAAGTAGAAGTAGCAAGAACGTTACCGAAATCTTGCATGTTCATGAGACAGAAAAAAGGACACCAGCAATCCTAAACCCTCATGTAAAACAATTACAGGCTTTTGTTTTACACTCACTTGGCAGGACGGTAGTACCTCCCTGGGTGGGTTTCTGTCTACCAACCCTACTACCTACTAATTAATTTTATAATATAATATATATATATATATATACATGTATATATATATATATATATTGGGGGTGGTAGGAGAAAAAAATATTCAGACAGCTCCTGGGAGAACTTTAGTTTTCTCTGAGGTACTTTTATTGTCTTCTCTGAGGATGAGGATCCCAGTAAAGTTCTAGAGATGGTACCTCCCTATAATTATAATATATATATATATATATATATATATATATATATATATATATATATATATATATATATATATATATATATATATATATATATATATATATATATATATATATATATATATATATATATATATATATATATATATATATATATATATATACATATATATATATATATATATATATATATATATATTTATATATATATATATATATTATTATATATATATATATATATATATATATAGATAGTAGGTTGGTAGACAGCAACCACCCAGGGAGGTACTACCGTCCTGCCAAGTGAGTGTAAAACGAAAGCCTGTGATTGTTTGCATGATGGTAGGATTGCTGATGTCTTTTGTCTGTCTCATAAACACGCAAGATTTCAGGTATGTCTTGCTACTTCTACTTACACTTAGGTCACACTACACATACATGTACACATTTATTTATACACACTCATCTGAGTTTTCTTTGATTTTATCTTAATAGTTCTTGGTCTTATTAATTTTCCTTTTATATCCATGGGGAAGTGGAATAAGAATCTTTCCTCCGTAAGCCATGCGTGTTGTAAAAAGTCAACTAAAATGCCGGGAACAATGGGCTAGTAACCCTTTTTCCTGTAAAGATTACTAAAAAGAATAAGAAGAAGAAAATTGTCAAAGTGGGAAGTCTGAATGTGCGTGGATGTTGTGCAGATGATAAGAAAGAGATGATTGTGGATGTTATGAATGAGAAGAAGCTGGATGTCCTGGCTTTAAAGTGAAACAAAGCTGAAGGGAGTGGGAGAGTTTCAGTGGAGAGGAATAAATGGGATTAGGTCAGGGGTTTCAAATAGAGTTAGAGCTAAAGAAGGAGTAGCAATAATGTTGAAGGATAAGCTATGGCAGGAAAAGAGGGACTATAAATGTATTAATTCAAGGATTATGTGGAGTAAAAAAAGATTGGATGTGAAAAGTGGGTTATAATAAGCGTGTATGCACCTGGAGAAGAGAGAAGTGTAGAGGAGAGAGAGAGATTTTGGGAAATGTTGAGTGAATGCGTGGGGAGTTTTGAATCAAGTGTGAGAGTAATGGTGGTTGGGGATTTTAATGCTAAAGTGGTAAAAATGTTATGGAGGGAGTAGTAGGTAAATTTGGGGTGCCAGGGGTAAATGTAAATGGGAGCCTTAATTGAGCTATGTGTAGAAAGAAATTTGGTAATAAGTAATACATATTTTATGAAAAGAGATAAATAAATATACAAGGTATGATGTAGCACGTAATGAAAGTAGTTTATTAGATTATGTATTGGTGGATAAAAGGTTGATGGGTAGGCTCCAGGATGTACATGTTTATAGAGGGGCAACTGATATATCGGATCATTATTTAGTTGTAGCTACAGTTAGAGTAAGAGGTAGATGGGAAAAGAGGAAGGTGGCAACAACAAGTAAGAGGGAGGTGAAAGTGTATAAACTAAGGGAGGAGGAAGTTCGGGTGAGATATAAGCGACTATTGGCAGAAAGGTGGGCTAGTGCAAAGAATGAGTAGTGGGGGGGTTGAAGAGGGTTGGAATAGTTTTAAAAATGCAGTATTAGAATGTGGGGCAGAAGTTTGTGGTTATAGGAGGGTGGGGCAGGAGGAAAGAGGAGTGATTGGTGGAATGATGAAGTAAAGGGTGTGATAAAAGAGAAAAAGGTAGCTTATGAGAGGTTTTTACAAAGCAGAAGTGTTATAAGAAGAGCAGAGTATATGGAGAGTAAAAGAAAGGTAAAGAGAGTGGTGAGAGAGTGCAAAAGGAGAGCAGATGATAGAGTGGGAGAGGCACTGTCAAGAAATTTTAATGAAAATAAGAAAAAATTTTGGAGTGAGTTAAACAAGTTAAGAAAGCCTAGGGAAAATATGGATTTGTCAGTTAAAAACAGAGTAGGGGAGTTAGTAGATGGGAGGATGGAGTATTGGGTAGATGGCGAGAATATTTTGAGGAACTTTTAAATGTTAAGGAAGAAACAAGGCAGTAATTTCATGCACTGGTCAGGGAGGTATACCATCTTTTAGGAGTGAAGAAGAGCAGAATGTAAGTGTGGGGGAGGTACGTGAGAGCATTACGTAAAATGAAAGGGGGTAAAGCAGCTGGAACTGATGGGATCATGACAGAAATGTTAAAAGCAGGGGGGGATATAGTGTTGGAGTGGTTGGTACTTTTGTTTAATAAATGTATGAAAGAGGGAAGGTACCTAGGGATTGGCAGAGAGCATGTATAGTCCCTTTATATAAAGGGGAAAGGGGACAAAAGAGACTGTAAAAATTATAGAGGAATAAGCTTACTGAGTATACCGGGAAAAAGTGTACGGTAGGTTATAATTGAAAGAATTAAGGTAAGACAGAATGTAGGATTGCGGATGAGCAAGGAGGTTTTAGAGTGGGTAGGGGATTGTAGATCAGGTTTTACATTGAAGCATATATTGAACAGTATTTAGATAAAGATAGGGAAGTTTTTATTGCATTTATGGATTTAGAAAAGGCATATGATAGAGTGGATAGAGGAGCAATGTGGCAGATGTTGCAAGTATATGGAATGGGTGGTAAGTTATTAAATGCTGTAAAGAGTTTTTATGAGGATAGTGAGGCTCAGGTTAGGGGTGTAGAAGAGAGGGAGACTACTTCCCGGAAAAGTAGGTCTTAGACAGGGATGTGTAATGTCACCATGGTTGTTTAATATATTTATAGATGGGGTTGTAAAGGAAGTAATTGCTAGGGGGGTTTGGGAGAGGGGTGGATTAAATTATGGGGGAAACAAATTCAAAATGGGAATTGACACAGTTACTTTTTGCTGATGATACTGTGCTTATGGGAGATTCTAAAGAAAAATTGCAAAGGTTAGTGGATGAGTTTGGGAATGTGTGTAAAGGTAGAAGTTGAAAGTGAACATAGAAAAGAGTAAGGTGATGAGGGTGTCAAAAAGATTTAGATAAAGAAAAATTGGATATCAAATTGGGGAGGAGGAGTAAAGGAAGAAGTGAATGTTTTCAGATACTTGGGAGTTGACGTGTCGGCGGGTGGATTATGAAGGATGAGGTTAATCATAGAATTGATGAGGAAAAAAGGTGAGTGGTGCGTTGAGGGATATGTGGAGTCAAAAACGTTATCTATGGAGGCAAAGAAGGGAATGTATGAAAGTATAGTAGTACCAACACTCTTTATGGGTGTGAAGCTTGGGGGTAAATGCAGCAGCGAGGAGACGGTTGGAGGCAGCGGAGATGTCCTGTTTAAGGGCAATGTGTGGTGTAAATATTATGCAAAAAATTCGGAGTGTGGAAATTAGGAGAAGGTGTGGAGTTAATAAAAGTATTAGTCAGAGGGCAGAAGAGGGTTGTTGAGGGGGTTTTGGGGTCATTTAGAGAGAATGGATCACAGTAGAATGACAGGGAAAGCATATAAATCTATGGGGGAAGGAAGGCGGGTGGGGGTCGTCCTCGAAAGGGTTGGAGAAGGGGTAAAGGAGGTTTTGTGGGTAAGGGCTTGGACTTCCAGCAAGCGTGCGTGAGCGGTTAGATAGGAGTGAATGGAGACGAAGGGTACTTGGGACCTGACGATCTGTTGGAGTGTGAGCAGGTAATATTTAGTGAAGGGATTCAGGGAAACCGGGTTATTTTCATATAGTCGGACTTGAGTCCTGGAAATGGGAAGTACAATGCCTGCACTTTTAAAGGGGGGGTTTTGGGATATTGGCAGTTTGGAGGGAAAATGTTGTGTATCTTTATATGTTTATGCTTCTAGACTGTTGTATTCTGAGCACCTCTGCAAAAAACAGTGATAATGTGCGAGTGTGTTTAAAGTGTTGAATGATGATGAAAGTATTTTTTTTTTGGGGATTTTCTTTCTTTTTTTGGTCACCCTGCCTCGGTGGGAGACGGGCCGACTTGTTGAAAAAAAAAAAAAAAAAAAAAAATAATATATATATATAAGGGATAGGTTGTAGACAGCAACCACCCAGGGAGGTACTACCGTCCTGCCAAGTGAGTGTAAAACGAAAGCCTTAATTGTTTTAAACATGATGGTGGGATTGCTGGTGTCTTTTGTCTGTCTCATAAATAATGCAAGATTACCGAGAAAAGTCTTGCTACTTCTACTTACACTTGGGTCACACTAAAACATTACATGTACAAGCAATAATATAACACCCCTCTGGGTTTTCCTTCTATTTTCTTTCAAATTCTTGTTCTTGTTATTTCCTCTTATCTGCATGGGGAAGGGGAACAGAATTCTTCCTCTGTAAGCCATGCATGTCGTAAGAGGCGACTAAAATGCCGGGAGCAA